GAAGAAAACTAAGCCAACTAGACGAAAGTCGAAAAAAATGTAAACTTCCTAAACTCAAAAATGATTTCTTGTGTTGATGTTTTGAAAGTAAGAAAAACTGAATTTAGCCGTTTTGTAACCCTGATTTCGCTCTATCTTTTAGCTACACTTCAAATTTTTTCACATCAAAAGCCACAGCGAAATAATCATTTTTCTATCGGTTGTCATGCATTTTTAAAATTTTGGGTATAGTAGTGCTTTCGGTATAAGTCCCATAACTCAATCAAAATAAAAGCTTTTTCGGTCGGGCTTGTTTTGTTTTGATCAGAAATGATTGCTCTTCTCTATCTAACTACAAAATCAATCTTCGATCATCTTTTCCGTTTCTTGATTGAGCACATTGTTGGAAACGGTGAGGCTGTCAACTTTTGATGTATTTTTGTAACTTCGTTGTCGAGCACACCATCTGCTCTAAAAATGTTTTTTTATAGACCACGAGAAAGAGCACATTTGAAAGTGCCAAACATAAACTGAGTTCTCTCTTGTGCTACACTTTTTAGCGGAAATAGTAGTAGAAGAAAAACTTCAAGTCGAAAAAAATTTTGAGTTTAGGAGGTTTACATTTTTTTTCGACTTTCGTCTAGTTGGCTTAGTTTTCTTCATTGAAGTTCTGAAATTATAGTTTAGGTATGATTTTGTAGAGTATTTTGCCGTGCATCTTTTAAAAGAAGCATCGAGTCTCGGAAACAAATCCAAACCAAGTTATAATTTTTTGAAAATGACCGCGAACTTTTTGCTAAACCTAGTAAAAGTAGGTATCTTTATAATTTTTGATTATCATCAGGTTGTTTCTTTGGCTTTTTATTATCTCTGGTTGATCTGTGTCCCTGTCCAACATGCTATATATATATATATATCTGTAAATAATATAACAGGACACAAGTGTCGTAGATTCTCTAGCAGAGACATTTGTCCATGATAACAAGTGACATTTAATGAAACAGACAAGAGAAGCCTTTTACATAAAAAAGATATGGACGAAAAACGGACAGAAGTTCTTATAATCGGACTTGCTCAACTGCGTTCCTGTATTTAGGAATTCTTCAATACACGACACCTTATTCATCTTTGTTAACTAATTTTGTAATTTTAGATCTGAGAACCAGAATCGTAATAAAAAATATACTTAGTTATTTATAACTCCTGTAGTCACATTATCTTCTTTTAAGCATTTGACAAGTTTATTTAAAACCATTGCCAGTTTATCCTCATTAGGCATATATCAAGCTCAAGCGTACAGTTGACATAGAGCGTGACCTGCTTTGCCTATACAATCTTACGTACCGCAAGCAACTTGTAAGGACCTCTCACGAGAAGAAAAATGGATAAGTGAGAAATTTAAAATCCGTCCAAGTGGCTTTAAACCTTTGCGAAACTTGGTGCAAATGTATGAGGTAAAAGTTTAGGGTAAAACTGTAGGAGTAAACTTCAAGACAAGTAGCGTCAAGATTTTAACTTTAAAAGTTAAAAGCTAAATTGAAAGCTACTTTTCAACTTAGAGTTTTAATGTTTTTTAAAGCTGGGTATGACATTCGTAGCGTGAGACAAAACCAGTATGCAGGTTTGCTTGATTTCAAATCCGCTCCATTTCAAGCCGTTTGATTTCGAGCTGCTCGATTTGATGCATGTTTAATCATCATCGTATTGTTGACCACAGGGCGATCCAATGAAACGGATCGAAACAAATAGATGGTAGCAATAAGTAGAGGAAATGAATTCTACTGTACGATATGATAGAGCTGTTAAACGCACTATGTAGGAAGGTTTCTTATCTTTAGAAATTTCATTGTGAAAAATGAAATGGTTTTAAACCATTTTTGATTTACAGTTTTGAGGATGTTTTAATATTGATTGACGTTGACCAAGACTTTAGGAACAAAAGAAAAATTAAACAACAAATGCTCTAGTCTATTCTCTAACGTGAGTTTAATCTTCTTAAATGTACTCAAAATCATTGAATGGATTTTACCATTGTTTAGTTGTTGTACTATCGTGAGAACTTAACTCTATTGAGCGAAATTTCCAAACTTACATCAATGACTATGAAAGGATTATTTTGCCGAACCTTCTTTTTCGTAGATGTTTGTATTTCATTTCGTGTCACTCTTGTCCAGTTTCAATTCGCTTTTATACTTAAACGTAAGAATACAAATTATATCACGTTTGACTATAGTTTGGATATTGTCAAACTGCCTGGTTATATGAAATAAAACTTATTTTCAACAGATATGGACTATGAATCATTTCTATTTTTGTCTTTCTTTCTATGTATTCTTTAGAATAAAAGTAATCACACGTGTACCATACATACGACATATTGCAACTCTTACAGTGAAAGCTACTTATTCGTTCTAAAAACATTATTATTTCTAACTAATACTTGAACACAATATGCCACCATTATTATCGACAGAGTTGAGTTATGAAGATTTATTGAAATATTATCGAAATAAAATAAGTTGGTTATTAACACGTTTATCAAAAATTAATGCAAATGATTGCAAAGAATATGTTCAAAAACAATGTCAAAATAACGAGACAAATGGTAAGAATTTTCTATAATAGTTACACATTATTTTAAAATATGACAGAGAAATCAACAAAAAACCATGTTACATTGATAGATCACAGAAAATTGGAATCGAAGATATGAAAAAGTTGCTGATATTGTGCACAACTAAAAGTATCACTGAGCTCTTTGTTTTTACTCATCCAAATCCGTATTTATGGTCGCATTTATCTATAGTTTCCGAAATATCGTATGATAAAAAATATCGTAGTAAACGATAGTGAAATAAACAACAAAAAATTGTAGTGAAACTATATTTGATTGTAACAGTGTTTGAAGCAGTACCACTGAGCAGTATTAGAGCGCTGATTTTTATTTTCATAGAATCTGAATGGGTGGGCCATAAAAAATGGCCTCTTAGTAGTTTTCTTTTATACATGATCGTGTCAATCGCGATTGATACGATCGTATATAAATAGTTTGATAAAAGGAAAGTCTAAGTTTTGATCGAAGAAAAAGAACAGTCATCCAGACGCCTCAACTTTGTAAAAGTCTTTTAATGAACTTGATCCACAGTAAAAGTCATGCTAGTGGTTGTCTAACCTAGCACTTGATTTTGCTTCGTACTGTCAAGTGTACCTTTTCCGATGGAACCAAAATCAAGCTGTTCCCTGTTGACTTTTGGAGTAGAAATCTTTGATTAATAATTTTACTCACTAAATCGTGAAAATTTTTTGAAGGAGAGCATCGACAACTTTTGATAAGCGACATAATCAGTTCTTTCCTCATTATTCTGGTGGAGAAATCATTTCTGTACAAAATGATACAATAATGAGCTTATTTTGTTCAGTTTTGACTGACTTACAGTAACTTTACTAGAAGATGCTAAACTGCGTGTCCAAAAATGGTAAAAAGTTGGTTTATGCCATTTCTTAAATCCTGTATCAAAAAGTCAAAAGTAATGATATAAAATTTTCGTATCAGTCCATAGAGTTTTCCAAGAGCTACATTTTTTTATTTAACAACTTATTAGTTACTAGAGACTCGAACAGAATTAGAATTGTGACTAGAGAATTGTCTTTCTCCATCGTGAACGAGCATGACTAGTAGGAGGATGGGTGAACACGTCTGAAGACCAAACCATGCATCATTATGGGATTAATCACTATAAAATAGGGAATTATGACGTAATGTCGTTCTCTGTCGTGTATAACCTAAGATTAATAAGAGGATGGGTGACCACTTTCCTGACCACTTTCACTGTGATGTAATGTCTCTCTTAATTCTCTCTATAACTCATCACAGAGTATGCAGGCTTTGGTCGCTGATCAAGGATATAAGCTGTATGGGTTGNGAGAACACCTCAGAGTTTACTTTTGGACAATTTAGTCCAAAAGTAAATTCTTTGCATTTGAATTCAAAGTTCAAGTGTTCGATTCTATCAACTGTGTAGTGTTCTTTTGTGCTTTGCTTCTTTCTGTTCAATCCTTATCTCTCTCTCTCTCTCTCTCCAAGATCGAACAATAAGTGTGGTGCTTTTCGCATTTGTCTCAACGGTTGTTGAGTAAATATTACTAGATACAGTTTATGCTAAAGTATAAATAATTCCTGACAGAATATAAAGAAATACTTGATGGAGAGAAGCAGAGTGTGTGCAGTGACGAATGATACTGTGCTCCATTCTTATTGTGTGAAAGTTATCGTTCATTGTTCCATAAGAACAAGAAATAGTAACACCCTCCCACAGTGTGGACTGACGAGGGAACCTCACGAGATGATAACTCGCTTTTTCATCGACATCTAGCGGGTTATAGGTTATCGACCATGCTGATTCCGAATATAACCATGGGACTTTCCCATAGCTCTTCGAAGATCCAATCTTCTGGAAAAAGACAAACTAATGAATTCAACGTATAATCCTTTTCTAATTTTTCGTGCAGACCCGTACCCGCAAACACTAATACGAGGATAAAGATTTGCAACAATTTCCTCTGCCGAGAGAACATCCCCACCTGATAAATCCCTTTTTCATCGAAATCTAGTGAGTTATAGGTTATCGATCATGCTGATTACGAATATGAGCATGGGACTTTCCCATAGCTCTTCGAAGACATGATTTTCTGGAAAACTAGTCTTCTAGAAACTCTAAAATGTAATCAAAACTTCTGTTAATAAGGCATGATTGTAGACTGCAAATTTCTGATTAAAACGAGATATCTCCCAGCTCTACGCGATCTTTCTTTGCAAAGTTATAGAATTGACAACAAAAGCCCTAAATTAATTTTTTTCCTTTTTATTTCTGTAGCTTTGAGCTGACAACGAACATTTAGGGCTTTTTAAAGTTATAAAAAATCTATAACTTTGTAAAAAAGAAGGTCATGTAGACCTGGGAGATGTCTCATTTTAATTAGAAATTTGCGGGCTACAATCATGCCTCGTTAAGAAAAGTTTTGATTACATTTTAGAGTTTCTAGAAGACTGGTTTTCTAGAAAATCGTTTCTTCGAAGGGCCATGGGGAAGCCCCGTGATCATATTCCGAATCAGCATGTCGATAACCTATAACCCACTAGATTTTGATCAAAAAAGTTTTGAATTAGGAAACTACAACAATCTTGCTTTTGCATAACTTGTAGAGAATTAACAAATCAAAAATCTGCTAGTACGACGTATTTATCGTTGGTTTTAGGTGATATTTGTTTGGATGAATGGCAAAATTCATCAGAAAAATGTTATCAAGATTTAATATCACAGATCGATCGTTTTAAACGTGTTGAATGTGAACATTTTGAACGTTATTTAGCTTTGGTAAATGAATCATTATCTGGTATTGGATTATTTTTAACAAAACATCGTCAAGCAGAAATGGAAAATGATTTAATAACATTTCAAAAAGAATTAGATTATTTAATTATTGATTTACAAATGACATCAAATTCAGATACAAAATCAGTCCAATTTAAAAATTATTTTTACTCATTAAATGGTCTAGATTTTAAACATATGAGACAAATTGGACAATCGAATAATATTGATAATACAACAATAATGGGTGAGTATGGAAAAAGATATTTATTATTCATAATAATATTTATTTCATTTTAGCTGCATCATCTTCATCGATTTTATTTTGTTCTCCTCATTTGAATTTATTACAAATTTATAATGATAATTTGACTATGGTAAACAAATTTTATTGGCCATGGAAAAGAGCTGGTCAACTTGTTGATGTCAAATGGTTTGATTTATTTGATAAATATTTAATTCTTGTTCAAAAATCTTCTTTACCTCAAACAAAATATTTATTTTATCTAATGTCAAATGAAACATATGTTGTGGATTTAATTTATTCTTTATCATCGAGTCAAGGAGTTGGTGATAAAGTCGCTGGTTTAACAACATTTAATTGCTATGTATTAGTTGCATATAATAATGATGAACAAAAAACATCATATTTACAACGAATTGAAATTAAAACAAAAAAACGACTAGTGGGAAATATGGAAACAGAGCCAAAAAAATATTTAGCAAATACAAATCAAATTCTTCGGTAAATCATATAAGAGAGATATTCTATCCTACTTCTTTTAATGTTTATTTCAGCATACCCCACCCTCTCCCACCGTACAATAGACGACCATCCCCTCTTAGAAGACTACTGCCGATTATATGACTTGAAAGCGAGATAGAAAATCATAGTGTTCTATTATGCCCGCCAAAAAAAATCAAAAAATACCCTACATATAGGGCAATTTTCAAAAATATTTCACCAAAATGTTCTTCTAATAGCGGATGGACTTCAAGTAAATGCGGGGAATTACCACTGGGCTACTAGAGGGCGACAAAATTAGACCGCAGTAGAAGACCACCCTTTAGAATTCGATTTGCCGGACCAAATAGAAGACCAGGTGTTCTTCTATATGGGGAGGAGGAGGTTTATGCTATATTGAATTATTATATCTGGGGTGATCCAGATATATTAGCTCTTTTTTTGTTTTCCATTCTTCTCCATACATTCTCAGTCCTTTTGGAATCTTTCTTTACCAAAAGGTGCACCGCGAAATACGCTACCGAACCACATCTAAACTTTAATTTCAGAATTTTAATCGAGAAAACGACGCAAAATTAGACGAAAGGTGAAAAATAAATGAAAACTCCGTAAATTTGGTACTTTTTTGGACTTGCACTTTTTCTTCTGCTATTATTTCTGTAGAAAAGTGTAGCAAAAGTGAGCATTCAGTTTGGTTTGTACTTTCGAATGTACTCTTTCTTCTGGTCTGTAAAAAAAGTGTTTTTAGAGCAGACGGTGCGCTTGTGAACGAAGTTTCAATAAAAAAACAATCAAAAATTGACAATCTCTCGTTTTCAACAATGTGCTTCTAACACGAAACGGAAAACATGATCGAAGTTTCGATTTTTTGCAGTTAGGTAGAGAAGAGCAATCATTTCTGATGAAAAATAATCCGATCAAAACGTCTTTTATTTTGATGGAGTTATCGAATTTTTACTAAAAGCACCACGATACGTAGAATTTAAAAAATTAATGAAAAACTGTGCGACAGCATTTCTCCATGGGTTTTGATTTGAAAAAATTTGAAGCTTAGCTAAAGGATAGAGCAAAGTCAGAGCTACACAATGGCTAATTCAATGTTTCTTATTTTTAAATCGTTCACAAAGGAAATCGGTTTTGAGTTTAGAAAATTGTCATTTCGTCTCACCTTTTATCTAATTTGCGTAGTTTTTTCTTGATTGAAGTTCTGAAATTAACGTTTAAGTAACGTTTTGTTGAGTATTTCGCGTCGCATATTTTGGTAAAAGAAAATTGTAAAAAGGTTGAGACTGTATGGAGAAGAAATAGAAAGCTAAAAAACAGTCATTATATCTGGATCAACCATAAATATAATAATAATTGCAGCTGTTTTGAGTTATTATATTTTTGACTCGAAAGTCGTTGCCCTCGTACAGAGATTTTAACCATAAATATGTTTCTCTTATTTTACATTGTTTAGATATAAAATGGCTGATTCGATTGTTAAATTATGTTCAAATAAATATTTTGTTGTTTTATTATTATCAAATCCATTACGATTAGAAATTCGTTCTGAACATTTGACGCTTATTAATTGTTTATATTTAGATGTAGATGATATGGGCGGTCAAATAATGGGAATATCAAGTGATCAACGTTTCTCATTTATTTTAATTCTTGATCAACAACTTATTTCATTTGATCAAAATGGTTTTATTTGCTTTTATAATTATGAAAACGATGAAAATGAAACAATCTTAAACGGAATCATTTATAAGCAAAATCAACTTGTTGTGAAAACAACAAAACAATTAAAAATTTATGAACTATGTCAAAAATATTAACGGATTGAACTAAAAAAATTATGCAATGACTTTTTAGCCTGTTGTTTTAAATAACTCTTTTAGAAATAAAGTGTACTGCATAGTTATTATTCGATGCATATATTGCAAAAATAATGACTACAACTATAAGGTGTTGTGATTGTGGATTTGTTGATAGAAAAAAACTCTCCACTGAAATTTAAAGTATCACCCCAAAATGACCTTTGAAACTGTATCTTACGACTTTAACTGGTCAGACAGAACTAGCGTACGATGATTTATTTCAATTCATTTCGAATTAATCGAAACTAAACAGGTCTGACTCACTGATGTAACAAACGTGTATCGTTGACGTTACAAGTACACTTATCCCAGAATAAATTGCACTAAATGTTAATGCATTTTTCCATCACTTCCAATTTACAACAAACCTTTCTTTATATGACAAATCATAGACAATTTAATTCTCTACACGATTGTATATTTATTTTTAAGGTTCATCTCTGATATTTGGCGTAGTAACTCTAATAAGAGAAGTCTCCAGTTTTTTAACTGCACCTGCAAAAGATCGATTTTTTGCTCAAAGCCTCGCTAAAAAAAAATTCAACAAAACAAAGTATACCGAAAACCTCAGCAAGAAATTTTCTACAATACGATGGATATTTTTATTGAGAAAATAAGTAGTAAATAATCGTATTACTGTCTGTCCAGAAAAAGAATGGACTCTACTATTTTTTCAATAACTTTTCATATAAAGCAGTTAGAGAGCTCCGGTTTTCGACATTCGAAAGAGGAGACTTGGATGCATGATTCTGTAAGCGAATATTTTTTAGTTTTAGGACAAGATTAAAAAGACTAATAAAAAATAAGTTTTAAGAAAACTAGGATTGCCAGGCTCTTTTCACAGAATATTAAAAAATTCTCCATTCACTCAGAAAACCGAAGAACCAGTTGGAAACATCAGGATATGCTTAATTTTGTCCATTAAACTTGATTATATGATGAAAACAAATTGAGAAACCATGTTTTGGTTCAAAGGTTTGCGGAAACTTTTGCGAAAAACCAGAGGGTTTTGTAAATTCTTTTTTGTAGATTTCTTATGAATAAGATATAAAATCGTCTAACGAGGAAAGGTCCCTAAGTGTGCAGTCGCTTTTTGCTTGAAATCTAGTGAACAATAGGTAACCGACTAAAGATAAATCCGAATCTGGCATCGGTTTGTGATGCTAGGTTTCCAGAGACCGGATTTCTGGAAATCGGGTTTTCAGAAACTCTAAAAAAAACCCAAAATCTTTCTTAATGAGACACGATTGTAGATCGCAAATTCCTGAATAAAATGAGATATCGCTCAGCTCTATATGACCTTTCTTTGCAAAGTTATACAATTTACACGAAAAGCCCTTCATAGTGATTGTCAGCTGAAAGCTACAGAAATAAGAAGAAATTAATTTAGGGCTTTCTTGTAAATTTAACTTTGCAAAGAAAAGTCATGTAGAGCTTGGAGATGTCTCATTTTAATCAAAAAGTTGCGGTCTACAATCATACCTCATTAAGAAAGGTTTTGGTTATTTTTTAGAGTTTCTGAAAACCTGGTTTTCCAGAAATCCGGTCGCTGGAGGTCTGGCAGCATAAACCGACGTCAGATTCGGGATTAGCACTGTTACCTATTGTCCAGTAGATTTCAAAGAGAACTCGATTGCACACTTGAGGATCTTTCCTCGTAAGTACTGTACATCCTGATGCTTCCAAGCCGTTTTGAAGTTTTTCTGAGTGAATGGTGAATTTTTAATTCTAATGGGATAGAGGACAAGGAGTATTTTTAAACAAATTCAGTTTTCAATTTTGATCGCAGTTAATGGGTCGTGAAGAAAATTTTGTTTTACTGGTATATTAGCTCCAATCAATGAGTCTTTATAGTGAAAGCTACATCACTATGAGATAGCTAATCCTTTGGATTTTGAAGCCTACAACTATGACAGATACAATAATAGGACTAGATCTCCAAACTGATAAGATCGTTTTTGATGAGCCAGAAACACTTTAAAACAACAAAACAATTTTATTTTTATGAAACTTGAGCAGTCTTCTATATTAGCTATTTTTATATATACTAATGTTGAACGATATCTGCTCTTTCAAATGGCGTTTGACTGGCTCTCTAGCATAGATAGTAAAAAAGATGCATTAAAATCAACTCACAGTTTATTTCTCCCCATCTTGGTCGCCCAAAGGATTTTCTTTGAAACGGATGTCAAACGAGCTCTTTATTTTCGATAGTGTGAATTTGACATCAGATTTTCTTTAGAGCACGTTCAATAGATAAAACTATGCAGATCTCGAAGTTTTTAGCTCGCTACGATAATTTTCATTATTTCACATTATTGTGATGTCGCCGTTTATGTAAAATGTTGTTTATTCTCGAGAATAAGAAATTGATTTTGTGTTTTTCGATAGTCTGATTTAGAATTCTAAAATGCAATTTCTCTGGATGTGTCCTGATACCAAATGAACCAATCAATCATCTAAGTTTCAAATTTCTTCAAAAACTCTATAATCTTTGCTATCAGCTAAAAGTAGAAGTTCTCAATGCTGACACTACATGCTATCGCATTTATCAGTTTATTTAAAAACATTCAGAATTTCGTGGGGAATACGTGAGTGAATTATGCAATTCAGCTTTACCTCTTTGCGAAAAAATCTCTCGAACTAGAATGTTTCTCGCTACTTAAAAACGTGTTGTTGTTTTTAAGAGAGAAAAGCGAAATAATCAGTGAGATCATTGTTACATTCTTTTTTACAGAACAGAAAGAACAAAATCATATCTGACTAAAAGTCAAACATCACGTCGCATTTTAATAATAGCAACGGCGGCACATTAATGTATCATACGTTATCTACTTGTCTACCGCTGTATAAAAATCAAAGCTCACATTTCAAACTTTCTTCAAACAAACAACTCTTTAATACTACCAATGTTAATTAAGATTCTCTTCCTTTTCTTATTCATACAAATAACAATCGGAACGGTTAATTCTCTTCAATATTCAAGTTGTTTCATGACTAATATATCATTTACTGATGTTTTAAGTCCATTATCAGTCGAATGTGACAAACAAACATATAATGTTAGTAAATGTCAAATTCGTATTGAGATGAATTAGGAAACAAAACAAACCAATGAGCTCGGGTTTTTCGGTTTCAATGAACAATCATCTAATAGTAATTATCAGATACAGCTTATAGTCAAAAATGAAAGCGCCATTGTTCTAAATTCAGATAGCGTCAAGTATACTTTGAATCACGGGCTATTTAATGGTAAAAAATGTTTTATTCTATGTGCTGTAGTTGGTGGGAAAACAGTTAATGAAAATTTCGTGTTGAAACTTACGAGAGAACCTTTCGAGGGAATTAAACGCTTTTTTCTCGGAATCTAGTGGGTTATAGGTTATCGATCATGCTGATTACGAATATGACCATGTGGGTTCCCCATAGCCCTTCGAAGAAACGATTTTCTGGAAAAGCAATCTTCTAGAAACTCTAAAATATAACTTGAACCTTTCTTAATGAGACATGATTGTAGCCCACAGATTTCTGATTAAAATGAGACATCTCCCAACTTTTCACAACCTTTCTTTGCAAAGTTATAGAATTTACAAGAAAAGCCCTAAATGTTCGTTGTCAGCTCAAAGCTACAGAAATAAGAAGGAAAAAATTAATTTAGACTTTTTTTTATTCTAAACTATTTTCTCTGGAAAACTTTAATAATGACATCTTTGAACTTGCAAATTACACCATTGGAAAGAGCGCATACAAAAACCTATAAAAATAGTGTTTAAAGGCTTTCGCATTACTTTTATGGCCCGTGCCCACATGCCTAGTCAAACTTGCCCACTGTGCACCGTCCTCGAGAACGATCAGGACGAATAGATATACAAGTTGATCGGCAGCTGTGAAGCTTACACGGTAAGACGACTAGTTAACTCAAAACATCGCTTTTCGCATTTTATTTTATCCAGGAGAAAGTTTTGTCGAAGTTTCACGAGGTTGGAATCGTTTAGTGCAACATTAAATGCGTGGTCACGTGTGAACTTTCTATAGTTTCGCACGCCTCCACAAGCGAGAATTTCTTTTCACATGTGTCTAAACACCGTTTTACAACTTTCACTAGTGGCCACGTGCAAAAAATATGACGCAGAAAGTTTCCATGAACAGTTCAGGCGTTGTCGTAAGCGGAATACATTTTTCATGTGTGCCTACACACCATTTTATGATGTTCACGGGTATACACGCCGTTTTATATACTAAAATTTTCCCATCGGTAGAGAATCATCCTATGTCAAATTATTCTGACAAGTATTAGATCATTTACATAGAACATATCATGATTATAGTCAAGCGTTGGTGGAAAACTTACGTAATTTCGATAAATTAACTCCTCATCGTAAGAAGTGGCAGTTGCAATACAATTCTGAAACTAATGTCAATCTGGGTAAGAGCTGTTTACTGTTTGTGTAGAATCTGTTCTTTTTGTAACTGCCTTGTTATAAAAGTCAAATTCCGCGTGTTTGGCCGTAACGCAAAATCGGTCGTAAAATAGGCAAAAATGGATTATTTGACTCATTTACTTTATTCTTTTTAGCTGGCAATCTGGGACTTACGTAGATCGATAGCGAATAGCTCGATGGCTTAAGTCTCTTCAATGACTCTCAAAAATTTATTTTTATTCATAGGCTTGCAAGCCACTCTTTGAATAATACACTCTATGAAATAATGAAAGAAATGCGGAAAGAGTTTTATGGTAATAAAACATTTTTCGACTGTTCTAACTATGAAACTTAAACAAACGTTCATGTTATTAACTTTTTCTTATGCAGTTTTGACTAAATATACCTTTATAATTGCTATTGCTGACATTTATGGTTGTAAATACAGTCTTGATTTATGTCATGGGAAGAGTGATTTATCTGAACAAGAAACACATAATTTCTTCATCAGTTTAAGTCTTCAGTAGTATCTAGAAT